GGGGGCCGGGGGGCGCCGGGGGAGCGCGCCGCGTACCTGCTCGGCCTGACACTCGGCCTGACAGCTCGCGGCTGGAAAGCACCTCGCGGCCTGACGTCAGATCCCCTCGCCCCCTCCGCGCGCTCCTCGCCCTCCCCCACCCGCCCGGAGGGAGAAAACAAACTTTGCGCGGAGCGCGGCGAGCTGCGCCCGCCCCCCGCGGGGCGGGCCGACGGCGCCGAGGGGCTTCGCCCCGCCCACCGCGCCCGGAGGGGGCGGGGCCGAGGGCACCTTCTTCCTGCGCCCGCCCCCACCCTCAGGAATGCCACAGGGCCTCCGCGGAGGAGCGGTGGGAACTTCGGCCCGGGAGAGCCCGCTGGGGGCAGGAAGTGGCCCGGCCCACCTCGCGGAGAGCGTTTCCGGAGCGCCCACTGTGTGCTCTTCGCCGGGGCGCGGGCCCTTCCCGGAGGAGGGGTGCTCCGTGAGTTCGCCCCTCCGGCAGGTCTCCGGCCAGCCGTGGGATTGTTCGCATTGCCTCGAGGGGATATTGAGGCCCAGCTAGTCTGAGCATGTACCCACAGCTGGAAAGGGATTGGGCTCAGACTGCGACGCCTGTTCTGTCCTCGAGGGCCTGGAGAGCTGGGCAGGCCGCCTCTGACACAAGCCCAGAGCACCGGGTCTGTCGCATGCCCCATGCGACAGGTGAAAAGAGCCCACGCGAAGGAGCGCCTGTAAGGCCGCGTGCACGGCAGCGTGGCTGTGCGAGGCGCTTCGTGGTGCCTTGCCTTCTAATCCTCTGGTTATGGAGCATGGAGCTGACCTATGTAAGTCCTGTAGAAAGCGACCGAGCTCAGAGAGGCTCTTGATTGCTTTTGTCACCCAGCCCAGGTCGGTCGCACAGCGGAGCCTGAGCCCTCACCCCTATGGCTGGCCCTTGGCTACCAGGCCAGGAGCTCCCGGTGTCCTGTTGGGTTTCTTTCCCCTCTTCTGCCAGTTACACCCCACTCCTGGAGGCTTTCTTTGGCCTCCTGCACCCCACCACGCTTTTCCCTCCTCTCTCAGAACCACATACTGTGAGCTGCCTGTTGACCACCCTCCTCTGGGCATGCCCAGCAATTAGTCAGCCTGTCAAACCTGACAGGCTTTTCTGGGCCTCTGTTTCCCTGTCTAGGCCTGGACATCCAGGGACCTTGGGCTTGGAAATAGCCTTGAAAACAACTTTTGGTCTTTTGTGTTTTTTTGAGTCGGAGTCTCACTCTGTTGCCCAGGCTAGAATGCAGTGGCACACTCTTGGCCCCCGCAGCCTCAACCTGCTGGGCTTAGGCGATCCTTCTGCCTCAGCCTTCCAAGTAGCCGGAACCACAGATGCACGCCACCACGCCT